TGTTTTTGAAGCCTCAAAAAATTGAATACAAATGTCAATATTTGAAAAATAAAAAATACCATGAATTATAATTTGATATCTTCGACACCTCAATTGGTATAACTGAGATTTAATCCATCATATTTGACGTGAGACTTGCCTTTCATGAAGGTGAACTTGTTAAACCTTTGGGAATACTTCTACGGGATCACTACGGTTTAGATTTCGTTTTGTGATCTATTGCTCTCTCCTTTTTCAATCTTTGTGATAAGTTATTTTCTCATTTACAATTTTGCAAATTTGAAATTCAGGTATTGTTAAAATGCTTGTAGGTGGATTTCTTCCACGATCAAACTATGACACGTAGTATTGGTTTTTCCTCCCTCTTTTTGGGTTGGGTGGATGATGAATGAGAACAAAATTTGCTAGGAAACAAAATGGCAAGACATGATAAGTGCTCATCAGTTGTTGTGAATGATTTTTGTTATTAGTTAGTTATTATAGAGTTGTAGGAATTATAATTGAAATGGAGTCCTAAAGTTTTGCAAATGTGATTTGGATTTTCGGTGTTCCAACTTCCAAATTAGTGGATAAGGGCCATGTAAATTTAATATAGTGAAAGGATAAGAGTCATCTAAACATGCATACCAACTCGAAATCATGAGAAGTTACATTACTAGCTAGTAGCTAACAATTTGAAATGGTTTGATTCTAGCAAAATTGTGGAACCAAATATCTCTAAATTAAAATAAATATAAAATTTTACAAAAAAAAAAAGTGATTGGGATTGTGGAGGTTTGTAGAGGCTTGTAATAATAAATTCTCCTTGCAATACATATAGATAGATAGGTATAGATTAGTTAGAGCGGAATAAATTCAGGAAGAAAATCCAATAAATCACAAAGACTTTTTTTTGTTATTTTTTATTAAGTGTTTAATTGGTATTCATTAACATACTTAAATTATACCTAGCTTACTACGGGAATACATACAATCACAATTATTGCATCACTTGGTTTAGATAATTTTTTAAATTAACTACATTTAAAAAAAAAAACACTTGAAACCTCTCTTAATGAGTACTCATTAAGTACCCGTTAGCAAAACCCCCTTTTTCTATATATTTTCAGTTAATTTCTGACATGTCAATAAAATTTGTGCCCTAGTGATACTTTTGAGTAAAATGTCATTAGATTATGGCTAAAATATTCATTTAATGGCTTGGACAGGAACTAGGGTTGGAACAAGATTTTACTCTTCCCCCGAGTTTGGGGGGGGGGGGGGGTAGTTACACGCAAATTAATACAAAATATTGTACGTAAAGTACATTAAACTAAATTCAAAACTTACAAGACAATAAGTGGCATTCAAATACTTTTATTAACAAGAGACAAAATCTGAAATAAAATACTAAATTTTATATCACTCGGAAGTTAACAAATATTCCATAGCAACTTATGAATGATGCCCAAATTAAAAAAAAAATTTGTCATAAGAAAGGCATGGGATTAAAATGCTAAACCTTGTATAGAAAATAATATTAAAACAAAATTCAAATGTTGAATAAATAATAATAATAGTACCGCTATCTTCTTAACGGTAATTTTATTTATACAATAAATAATTAAGATGTGTAGTACAATGAAATTATTTTTTTGGGTCCAAGAATGTAATGGAATTACTTTTGATAACACTACAATGTGGGTTTGGGCGATTGGAGACGAGTCAATATGGTTGGTTAATGTGTTAAATAACCTATACGGTTACATTGACTAAAACTAGTTTTCCAAGTTAACTGGATATTTCCTTTTATCTTTACTTTTCTATTTTATTCCATTTCCTTTTATCATTAGCTGTCATAATTGTATTGTACTTAATAAATAATACTTGAATATGGCAAGAATACTAATGTAAATTAGGTAAAGATTAAAAAAAAAATTGCTAGATGGATAGAATCTTGGAGGCGGGCCGGGAGATTGGAAGCTATGCCCCTTTGCACCCCTGATTCCGTCCTTGAGAGGAACAGTGCATCTATGCCAACGTGTTATACAAGCTGAGTAGTAAAATTTTTTTTTTCAAAGAATGCCTCTATCTTGAAAAATATCAAAAATAGGTGCAACTAATTCAATTTTTATTTTCTTTTTTTCTTTGTATTGTTCTGATCCTAAAATTTTCCATTGTTACTTTTTATTTTTAATAAAGTTAGTATGGCAGTATGGGTAAAATGAACACCAAATGCAAATGGTAATTCACTCGAGTTTGCAAACATGTTTTCTTTTGGCTATCTAGCCTGAAAAGCATTTTATCCCATTGAGCATTTTTCGAGTCTAATTGAGCAAGTTGTACTGGTTTTCAGAACCATGTAATCCCATGTACCTATGGCTAAACCTTACAGTTGGACTTGTAGTGTATCCATCCTAAAAATCAAGGATTAGACGGTATAAATGATCCAATCTCATTTAGCCTTGCCTATTGCAATAGGATTAATAGTTTATCCTTCAAACTGGATATACATCAATGCCTTAGATTGAAATTAAAAAATCCATCCAACCAAAGCTTTAAAGGCGTAGTGACACCTAAACTGCAAAAGAAATAAAGAGGACCCATTTAATCTTGTCAATTGCTCAATTGTTGTGGCAATATGTATGCAACGGTAGCTGTAGTTACACTAATAAGGACCAACTTAACACTGACTAGGTAAAGAAATTAGAAATTACCAAATGAGAAGATGTACATAACCTTAAACGGTCTGGAATTGGGAGTCTTGGTCAAAAAATTTATATATAATTACTACTTGACATCTATACTATATATAAAGTTTGAGGAAGGGGTTTGGGGTTAACATTGGATTAACATTTATGGTCAATTTATGAACTTTCCTTTTACCCTTATAAAAACTACTTTTACTTTAACTACCTATAATTATCCATGATTATTTTTACTTTTAACTATTTAAGTATATGTTTTCAACATAACTATCCCTAAACGTTATAACTGTCAATATAAAATTATTTTATGAAAAGCATTTAAAAAATTAAAGTTTACGTCACTAGTAAAAATTTTATTTAAAATATATGACCATAAATATTTTATGTTTTCTGATTGCACGCACATTGAGTGTGCATTGATCACTAATGTTTAATAATTGATTTTTGATCAATGAAACCGCACCAAGTAAACAAATAAGAACCTCGCATTATTATTTAAATTGTATTTAATATGAAATTTGTGGGTTCGACAATTTTATTTGGAGTATTTTTATTGATGAAAAAACTAATTACTAAACTTGCCAACTAATTTGTCTGATAAAATTTGGACGATGTATGCATCCCACGGCCGGATTTGTCACCAACCAAACTAGGCGTCCAAAGGTGGTTTTGCTTAAGAGTGTATCTGTACTAAAAACGCTTGGACCAAAAAAGAAGACTTAGATTCCATGCAAAAGGATAAATTTCTAAATATTGTATCTTTCTAGGTGTTTTACTACATTCCAGTTTTCAAGTTATGTTTTCAGGTTTTAATTTGCTCATGTAATCTTGGATGATGATCTGGGCTTTGCTTGTTCAACTTGTGCTACCTTTTTAAGATTATTAAGTTCCCTTTTATTTGATTCCGGATGATTCTCGTTATCTGGATTATCCTTCTGTTTTGCTGTTCTTCTTGTTCTCATTGTAGTTAATAGTTCTTCTTGCATATTCAATAGCAGCCATTGATTAGCAATTCTGGAGCAGGCATATTCCAGCAATATGGTAGTATTTTGGATTGTATTGATGCCGAAGAGTGTAATTAATCATCAATATTCAGTCGAGATGATATGGAATCCAAGGATGAAAATTAAAAAGATTATTTGGGTAAGTTAATTAGTTAAAATCTAGAATGTGTATTTACTTTTTTCTAGTTTCACGGCCTCACACGATGTACGAGGATGCCTAGATTTGTTGTGAGTTTCCTGGATTTTATTGTGAGGGTACACAAGATGGATGTTAAAACAATATAATTGGCTGACAAAAGCAGAGGAAAAATTGTACCATAATTGAGCTCACGTGGGTTAAATTTGTAGTTTATAACTCAATTTGCAAGTTTATTGCTGCTTTTGTTGGGTAAACTTGCATTAGACAAGTAACATGAAGATGGGAAATGTCCATGACAAAGAAAACCATTTTGTACAGAATACTGAATATGCTACAAACATGGAATACAAAGTCCTATATATACATCAGTGATAATGGTAGAGAACTGTAGGTAGTGATGTTGGTAAATCATCAGTTCCTGACCCTGTTCATGGAGTAATGTTGACATCAATGAGGTTTGAAGCAAAGTGGAGGAGTCTGAAGCCTCCTTGAAGGACCAGCGCTGGATTACTTGTTAGCAGAATTTTCTCCACATCTAACACGTTCAATGGTGATTGATGACGCAGAATTCTGCGGGCAACTGACCAAAGGTTTACTACTTGATATAGGCTACTGTGCTTTTCTTGCATTCATTCTCTGTTTCCTATTCACCGAGTGCATACCTGATCTCTGTAACTCTGTCATTGCAAACGTGAACATAAAAAATGATGATATTCATCATCATCTATGTATATGGTACTTGACCATCAACAGCTGCTTGAAATTCCATCTTCCTGCTTGTCTTAGCTCAAAGTTTGCATATCACCATCAGGTCTGTAATTAGCATGTTCCAAGTCCTTTCACTTTGGGATCATCTATGTTACATCTGTTGGGAACATCAACTTCATTGTTACACAACTCATTATCAAACCGTTGAGCTTCATTGAAAGAAATGTCCTCTCGTTCAATGATTGGAGAACGTGCATTAAATGCTGTCACTGCAGTGGTACACGAGCTTGAAGATGTTCGGGCATGATTAAGTTTGTAAGCAGCATGTTATTATTTTGTAAGTGAGAGATCTTGAGCCTAGGATCTCATACTTATAATCCCTCCCACTTCATCACCCAACCCATTTTTCCCCACTTCCAAAGTTGCATATTTTCACTAACGGCCCGTTAGCTGAAGATAAACTTCCAAATAATAAGACTATATACCAGAAACATGGAATTATGAATTCAATCTTATGGCTAACTTGGGAAACAATAGAATTATAAACTTAAATCTTATGGTTATCCAACAAAATTATGGTCTGCAGCATCGCTTAAAATAATTATAGGCGTAGACAGGAATTTTCCGAGGATTCGAGCAAATTTTGACAACCTAGCGTCCAGTTAGAATGTGATCAATCTCAAAGCAGGGAATCCGGTAATGCTTGCACCATTCAATGTTGGGGCAGCTACTCGTGTTACAGCACCTTCCCTTTAGATGAGAAGATACGCATCCTATTGGTAGGCTTCTGATGGATTGTTAGGAGGGTTACAACTCAAGCTTTTTCAGATGTGCCAACTTAGAATCCTTCAACAGATGAAAGCCTCTTGAAAAAACCACGCTATGTTTCCTTAAAAGGGCTGACAAGCCTCGTTAGCAGCATTTGTCGTTTGAATGAAACAAATTCTGTTTCTGCAAGGCCACAAGCATTTTGAAAATCATTAGGTCAAGTGCAATATAAGTACATTCCAGAAAATGCAGGGCCTTTCGAAAATCATAGGTTATGTACAATATAAGTACACTTCAGAAAATGGAAGCTGCAGATCCAGGAAGTATATCCATGATTATGAGAGCAAGGACATACCTTGACTTAAAATCCAACCAGTAGAAAAAAATATCAATGATTATGAGAGCAAGGACATACCTTGACTTAAAATCCAACCAGTAGCTTTCCCATGTACATTGGCCTAATCCATAGCTCTGTTCTTCACCTTGTAAACAATGGGAGAAAGCTTAACAATTTCATACAAGTTTAAAATAAACAGCAGTCTGTGAAGATCTTTTTGACTCTACTAATTATGAAACTCAATCAAAAGCACAAAGAAATCAGCAGAAGTCGTGAAAATCAGATAAATTTCCTTCAATTAGAATATTCAAAACACATAGAGAAGTGTACCTCATTTACGAGAATCCCTGTAGGCAGCCAGAATCATGTTTCATGCAGATTCTTGGAGAGCTCAAGGCCTCAAGAAAATCTTATCACTGGCAGCCTCGAGTATACTTCCAATGGACTAACCATTGTGATTGCAGACTCTCAAATTAGACTTAGAATTGCCTATGACCAGAGGAAGAAATGGCATCGGATTTGTAGCTGCACAATGAGAATAAACCAATGTAGAATGGATTACAGTCATGCTGAATTGTAACTTAGCCTTCTCTGTGTGCAATTAAAGTGCAAGAGTCTTCCTTTTGGAAGAGCCCAAATAGATTGCTCCAACTACAAAAGTTCTCTGCTTACTTTTTCTAGTGCAACTGCAGAGGATGACTTGAACTAGGCCAAGTAAAGACCTAAATCTTGGGAGTCATATCCTCATTGCATATTTTCAGATAATATAGCAAATGTTCCTCAAGAAATGCCATGCCTTTTCTGTGTGAAAAGAGTTTTGCGAGGAAAAAAAAGTGAACTACCATCAGGCCTCAGTCAACAGCATTTTGAATTTCATGTTACAAATTTTATGCAAGCTGTGCTGAGTCCAAAATGCAACAAATACAAGAAAGTACAGCACAAAAACAATCAGCAAAATATGGTTCTTAGAGAATAACAACATAAATCAATACTAAGCTCTTAAAGGAATGCAATGGTAAATTTTTTCATTGAGAAGTTGGGAAAAAAAAAAAGATAAAAGAGTGTAAGTAACTAGCTAAATTAAGGTCACCTATTTCCAAGTTATTAAAATTGACTTTGTTCCTTAGGTGGAACCTAGCATCTGAGTGTTTTAGGTGCACCAAGTCTGCCACGCATCAGATCAAAATCAGGTAACTAACACTAGAAAACCTTTTGAACCTGCAATATGGGCATACTCAAACTTCATATCTTAGGTATCAAACTATCTAAGCAATGTATCTGGACTCTAAATCTTATTAAAATCCCTCTAAGATGATAAGGCAGCCTGTTTCAATAGGAATAGTCCTTACATTCTTGAATTTTGTAAGAATTCACTAAATAATTGAAAACAATGAATTTGCGAGAGACTACAAATACTAATCTCGACAAATGATGTTTCTTGATAATTAATAGCATATTCTTGCTATTTCTTCCCACGAAGCAACTTAATGAAGATAATGGGCATCATTTATTTCATCAGGCATGCGTGGTGATTATATATGATGAAGTTACATATCGCCCTTATAGCTGATTTTCAAAATTGACCTTTTTATTTGTAGTAACAAGCAGGAATAAATTGAGGTGGTTCATTTTCTTCATTTTCATTTATTTATGCATATCTTTATTTATTTTTCTAATTTCAGCATGTTTACAAAAGGAATTTGAATTTTTGAAGAGGAAAAATAACTCACCAAGTATTTTTCATAACAGGTTCCCCTTACAAGAAATGGACACTCTCTTTCACCAGCAGACAGCCATCCACATGAACTGTACTTACCAACAAGGTTGATCCTTCCTCTCAGAACACTTCCTGGTTCAATGATATGAATCAAGATTTCCATGTATACCCCAGCGTTGAACTCTACCTCTCCTACATTAAAATTTTAACTTTCTCCATAATCCATTAACCTGATTCATTTCTAAGACTCACAATTAGCAATATCTCGTGCTAGGCTGGAGAACTTTATGAGATGAGCAAAGACAGAGTATTAACCATGGCATCTTTTCCATCAACCTTGTAATAGCCTTGAATTAGAGAATTTGCCCCATCAGATTGAGCCAACAGCTCATGCACATAACAGCTTTTTGTATACAAGAAAACTTTGAAGGATGTTTTCAGACCATTCATTAGGTTTCTAGCACTCAAAAAACTGTATAAGAAAGCAGGGTTGCATCTGAAAATTTACAACATAAAAGAATGTAACCTCCCAAATAACATTGCTCAACAGACACATAATAATTCATTAGAGAATAAGAACTCCACAACTAAGATATTCTGGTTTGCTAACGAGAATATCAAGAAATATCAAGGACCAGCTACAAATCACTCCGTACCCAGTGAAATACAAATAGCAAATTACCTATTATTATGCCAAGTAGCTCTAATTGGACAATATATCAAGCAACTGCTTCAAGGCACTACTTGATTATTCAATCATCCGACAAGCTTCACTATTTCTTGATATTTAAGGCACTAATAACTGAAAGAGTTGCTAATTATGGTTCCATTCATGTCAGAAAATGATGGATTTGTTGCCCAAGAGGAAGACAAAAGGTGGTACCTAATGGGGAGAGAGTCTGAAGATGGATTTTCAAAAGAAGAAGTATTCCTGATGCTTGTGAAGATGATTATGCAGAATTTCATATCATTCCTCCTTTAAATTGTATTTGAAGTTGGACAAAGTTTTCCTGAATCATAAATTTTTCATCAGAAAGAGGTGTGTTACCTCATGCATGAGAATCCCCATAGCCAACCCAAATACAAAAGTGGTGCCTTTGGGGGGTGGGGGTCTGAAGATGGGTTTACAAAAGAATAAGCATTCTTGATGCTTGTGAATGAGATTATGCAGAAATTCACATCATTACTCCTTTAAATTGTCCTTGAAAGTCAGATAAATTTTTCCTGAATCATAAATTTTCATCAGAAAGAGGAGTATTACCTCATGCATGAGAATCCCCGCAGATGACCCAAATAATCTTCGTTGTAGCATGCTGGAGAGCTCTAAGCCTCAAGAAAATCTATTACACCCACAACTTTCTATACTATACCATGTGTGTTTACACATGGTTCATCATGTACTCTAAAACCAAACTTGGCACTGCCTACAACATAGGAAAAGATTCCACTACATCAGAAGCTGCACAATAATTGAATAGAGCAAAAGAAAAAGAATTACAGGAATGCTGAATTCTACCTAAACTGTCTCTGTATAAAGAAGGAGAAAGAGATCCTTTTGGGAGTGACCTGATGGATCTATTTGAAGCTAGAAAGCTCTCGCTAAGCAAACAGCCCCTCATTTTTGCAAGTCCAAGAATGTGGAGCCATTTATCTGCATCACCATTTAACAGGAAACCATGATAGCTGAAGACTTTTGATCAAATATATCTGTTGCCGTGTAAATAAAAGATCATAAATTGAAAAAGAAATAAAAATAAAAGCAGACTAAAAAAAAACGATGATTATCAAATACTTTGTCAGACAATGCAAAATAGTGATCCACAACAATTAATCAAAAGCTCCAACAATTAACTGGTCAATGGCCTCGATCTAAGTTCAGAACAATTTAAGGACCAAAGTGTGTTATACTAATCACTTGAAATATTGACCTTTTTTAAGTTCATTACTTTAAAAGGCTAGCAATCTCCCAGTACTGCTACGCTTTGCTCCAAAAAAGTGACATTGGATCAAAAAGTTCAAAATCTCATAAGCATAGTGAGTTAAGCTTACTTTATGAAGTGCATTTTTTAACAGGGAAAAAAAGTTCAGTACTTTGAGGAAAAAGCTCTTGGTTTCAGCTAATAGGTGGAATTCCTCAGCTTAATGGAAAACTTTCCATTACTTGTATGACTTGAAAATATTATCACATTGCTCATTAACTACAAATCTTTTACTAGAAAGACACGCTTAAGTATCTATAATTGTATGACTCGCCAAGCTTCTCCATGATCATTCTCATGTAAAACAATCTTAAAGCTTAAACATTATCACTTTGCTACTTTCATCGTCAGTTCAGTCATTACAATCTGACAACATGCATACCCTTGGCTGAGTGCATAGATGCTAAAAGAAACTGAAAACCTTTTGCCTTTGAGTACCGCTATTATTTCTCTCAGTCTAGTAATTTGTTTGAGCAAAAGGCAAGGCTTTACCAGTCTGAAACTTTCAGTACTGAGTATAAGTCCAGAACTGAATTAACAATTAAATAAAACAATCGACAATGCAACTAAAAACACAGATTGAGATAACAAGATCAATATATAACATATGCACTAAGTGCTCAAGCAAAAGTAGAATTTGATAAAAAAATGCATGGTGGATATGCTGAAAAACTAGCCTAATTCGCGGCTCTGAATTGGGAAAGTTTACACCACCCACTAAGAACTACAAAATTTCGAAATTTGCGTTGGTAATAATGTGCAGCTTGTTACCTTTCTCATCATATAACATAAATTTTGATAGCAGAAAAATTTTTTGTGGATAACCATGTAAGATAGGACAATTATGTTTTGCGACCATATTGCAATAAATTCCAGCTATGGTCTTACAAAATTTATCTCGAAAACCAAGTTTCAAACAATGTTAATTCTTGAACATGTTGGAAGATACAAATATTGGAGGAAGTAAAAATGGTAGTAAACCACAACTGAATATCTGGAAAGTGGAAGCTCTGGGGAAAATGAAAATACATACATACATAAATGGAGAGGTTACCTGGAGAGCAGAAATTGATAGGACCAAGAAAAGATGGTTTGCAACAGTTATTCAGCAAAAGTTAGGCTGCACCATTGAGATGCAATTAATAAACTTTATCAATACATTACTGCTATCATTTGATGGATAGAAGAAGCAAAAATTAATAGACAAAAATGTGTTAGTAGCACAGAGGATTACCGAGTAGCTTCAATTAATAAACTTCAGATGGAGATTAGCCTCTGATTTGCAGCCCATCAATGTAAATTTCAGGAATTTGGGAGATCTTGGACCACTCAGAATTGTTTGGAAAAAGGGCAATGTTTGGAGAGAATGCAGTTGTCCGATTTCAAGAGGCATTAGATCACTTAATTCATCCTTAGAGAAAATATCAAAGTGCCTCAAATTCACCAAATTCTTGAAATTGTTTGGAAACTTTGTCAATGATTCACAATCACGAACTCTTGCAGGTTGTAAAGTTTACAAAGAGAGTCCAACAAAGTTTCTATTGGAGTATTTGATGAATCGAGGTACCTTAAATGAGACAACTTGCCAATTGATTTAGGTAGCTCCTTGGCATGCGATGAAGTTAAATTTAGCAATCGCAAGCAAGTCAAAAATGAGGTCAAACCATCATTATTTGATTTGTTCTCCAATAAAAATAATGTTGTTGTGTACCCGAAACTCTCATTCAATAGAAATGATATTTCTTCTCCACCACTTCTCCCCATTGCAAGATACCTAATGGGAAAAGTCTTCTCGAGGTAATCAACTCCTGCTGACTCTTTCAAACTTGTTGTTCTAAATTTGGAAATGAATTGCACCATATCATGCACAAGATCATGCATTTTGCAATTCAAAACATTCCCATAATCATCCTTTTCTGCATCTTGAAACAAGTTACTATCCAGCAAAATCATAAAATACATGTTACCAACTTCCTCCATACGCATATTGTTTCTTTGATTTGAATGAAGAAATCCTTCTGCCATCCAAAGTCGGATTAGTTGACTCCTTTCCATTTGAAAATCCTTGGAATAAATTGTACAATATGCAAAACACTTTTTAAGAGATGGATATGGAAGACGATCAAAGCTCAGCTTCAAAATTTTAGCAACATCACTATTTTCATCTCCACCTAAACTTTGAAGCCCAATCTCTAAGTTCTGCCATTCATCTATTCCCTTGTTAAGCAGCATGCCACCAAGAACACATGCAGCCCATGGTAAGTCTCGGCATCTTTGCGCAATCTTGAACCCTATATCTTGCAACCCATTCAGCAGTTCCCAAACTCCAAATGCAATTTCTTTGAGAATGAGCCAACATTTATCATCTAATAATTGTTTCAAGGCACAAGGAGGAGAAGAAATTCTTGTGATGTTTGCCACTGGTTGCTTACGAGTCAGAAGAATCCAACTCCCCATGGATGGGCTAGTACCTTTTAGTGCACCAAGAAACTCATTCCACAGTGTGAGCTTCTCATTCCATACATCATCTAGGACTAGTAGAAACTTTTTTCCATCCAATAACTTCTTAAGTTGTTTCAACTTGGCTTCCCTACCCTCAACTTCAGGCTTTTGGACTTGCAATGATTCTAGAATCAAATCAAAAAACCTATTGACATTGAAATCATCTGACACACAAACCCATATTTTTTTGTCAAAATGTATGTCAATCTTTAGTTCATTGAAAACTTTTCGAGCCAAGGTGGTCTTCCCTATCCCGCCCATTCCTACTAAAGGAAGAACTGAGAGAGTTTCATTGCTACTCGTGGCAGTCAATTGTGTTACTATTGCTGAGACATCATCACCTCTACCAATGAAACTCGTATCAATGGTAACAGAGTCAATCTCGCTGTTCTTCACAAATCCTTCTCCACTAGGAGGAGAAAGAGCAGGAACATCTCTAGCTCCAATCTGTGACTGGAGGCTAAAGTTCATTGCTCCTTCATTGATTCTATTCAAGTCCATATTGATTTGCTGAATTTTGTTGGCCATTAAATTGCAACGAAATGCAATTGGACTGGAGAGTGAGAAGAAGAAGAAGCATACCTTCTTGTTCATTTGGTTTTGGATCTCAACTCTGCGTCGAATCATTTCATAGTTTATGTCATCCAACAGATTACCAGCATCAAAAGCCACAGCTTCAAGCTTCTCCAACCAGCGCTTCACGAACTCTTGGGTCACCTGTTTTTCCTCTGCATCATGAAGGACAGGCTGGATCAGAGTCAGCCCATACTTCAGTTTCTCCAAATTGTTCTTGAAGCCAACAAACAGGCCAATTTGTTCTGAAGCCATGTTTATTGCCTTCTCCACTAGAACTTGTACAGTGGAACCAAGCAGTGCATCCGCCATCAGGTCTATATTTGAGAGTAAGAGAGAATTTGATATTTCTGAGATTGGGGAACCCAATTTGCAGCTTTTAAGGTGAGAAAGAGTTGAAAAAATGTACAGTGGCTGAGACCAAAAGTCAACGAGTTGGTGGTGGCTCACTGACTTTTGTTTTTTTGCCATTTTATATTCGTACCCTAGGCTTTTGAATAGTTAAATGAGTGAACTAAAGAATTATTACGTTAGGCCTATTGATGATAGCCTACCAAAGGCAAATTGGAAATAAAAAAGGGTTAACTACATTCTCAAAATAATCTTTTATTTAGTATAAACATGTTCTAAGCTCAGGTTGTTCATCGTTGATTTTTCTTTTCTTTTCCTTCTTTCTTTCTTTCTTTTTTTTAAATATAGTTGATATGTTTCAAATTCGAAACGTCTCACTTATGCTTCATTCTTCTGTACCACTCAATCCATCCCTTTTTTCCACCGACGGTTGTTATGGACTTTATAAATTTTATTAAGACATCTCTTTCTTGGCATAGGCTATATTACGGATGGAAGTTAATGATTGAACTAAAGAATTATTTCGTACATTTTGGTCTATACATGATGGGTGGCAAATTGTAAACAAAACGAGGGTTAATTACTATTTTCAAAACAAAATGAGGGTAAATTACTATTTTCAAAACAATGTCATTTTCAACCATAAGAAATATCAATTTGTAACATTGAACTTTAGTCTCTAGCATTCAGTGGCGAAGCCAAGAATCACTTTCAATGGGATAAAGATAGCGTATAATATGTTTATAATTTTTCAGCTAAAAATAAACATAACATAATATTCACATAATAATTAAAAATAATATGACATACTAGAATATACTAATAAAACAATCATTTCCTTCAAAAATAAATACATGATTTTTATAATTACTTGAGACCGATTTTCAAAATTTTGTGTTTTATAACCTTTTTATTCACAACTCCACGACAAAGTGAAAAAGGTGAAGGAGGTGAATAGAAAAGATAGAAAAAGAGTTGATGAAAGATAGATAATATTTGTCTTTTTTTTATGTGATGAAAGGAGATCAGGAGACAAACCAACACAACTAGCAAATTAAGATTTTGTTGCTTTTCTTTTTCAATACTTTAGTTCTTGTGACAGCATATCAGTTTCAAAGGGAAAAAACAAACGCGCGCGCGCACACACACAAACATGTACACACTGACGTGTGGCATGTTTATTCTCAACTAGTTTTCGTGGATGCCCAGATTTTTTCTTGAGGATGTACCAAAGCTGGCTAGATATGATATGGGAGATATTGGTCCATAATTGTTCGATATCAAAAAATCAACAATTTACAAATCTTATGCTTCAACAACATATATATAACAGCAATAAAATGTACAGCTAACGTCAGGGAAAGAGAGACATAAACTATAAATTACATAGCAGGAATTCATACATACATAGTTTGTAGTAGAAAACAACCAAGCCATGAATTAAAACTAATAATGTAGTTTGAAAAGCCTATGAATCAGGATTGCTCTCAAACTTTCATTTATCTCAAATTCGAAATACATGTGATCACCAAGTCTGCTACAAAAATGATAACAGTCATCTATTAGAAACTGAAAGCAAAAAAAAAAAAAAAAACAAGAGAGTTTTTTATGTACAAAATCTATACAAAGAGGATCAGGGTCATGCTTGTTTTTTCCTTTCTTAAATTCTTCAAGATCCAACTGGTTGGCTATTAGGCTTCACAAAAATCTTCTTTTCAGTTGGCTTCTCAGCTTTACGACCCTGTCGCTAGACTTCATTAGCAATACTGGCTCCTCCTTCCAAATTCATTGCACACATTTTTCAAATGGGATACAAATTATTGAACTGAAACTCAGGGAAACTCAAATACATAGAAATTAGTCGATTGACTCCAAAGAAATCTTTTTTCTTCTTTTTGTACAAATTATTGCAAAGAACTAAATACAAATTTTTGTAGAAATTAGTATATGATAAAAGAAAATATAGTAAGCTTTATATCCATGCACCAATCAAATTGTATCTTCCTAATTCCTCATGTACCCTAGGCCGTGTGGACACATCTTTTTCTTTTATGTGAGACATGTCTTTCAAAGACAGTACTACTGATGTTTTTCTCATGCTCACTTATTTTTCATGACGTTATTAGTGAAGCACTTATAGTTGTAGTATTCCTTTCTCGAGGTTTAACTTCTTTTACTTAATTTTTTTGTCTTTGCCGAAATTGCATGCTTTAAGTTGCCCGTAGATGCTAGAAGAATTCTTCAGCATATGATATTCTTAATAGACCTGGGGCTTATCTTAACCAACTGGAAATTCTAAGCAATCAGGTTGACCATTTATTGAACTATTTCAAAGACAATGCAGATAACTCACTGAAAGGAAAGTTTGGTTATACCTCAGTAATAAGATAGATGATTTTATGCATTTACCAAGTCCTAACCTAAGCATTTGACCTTGACCATGTATAACTTGGTATGTCCATTAACATCTTTGTTTATGTAATTTGATAACTTAGACAAATGAACCTTGCATACCATGCCTGCTGATCTTAAATTGTCAATTGAATCGACAGATTACCATTCACACTAAGCATGGAAGACTAAAAAAAAGTTCTTCATAAACAGCAACATAAATTATTTTAACTCAGACAGCAAGTATCCTTCAAAGGACCCTTGTGCATGCTGCACGAATTTCGCATCTCTAATGCTAAGGAGCACAGGGAAGAAAAAGGCCCTACTTCCCATACAGTTCTAGTATTCCACACAAGTAAATCTATATTTCACTCCCTGGATTTGTTTTTATTTCTTTAGGCCTCTGCTTACAAATATGACAATAGGTTTTCATGAATGTAAATTAGTTAAGGAAACGGTGCTTCTTCTGAAGTAAGGTTCCCAAACGAAAATGACTTATGCACAAGAGTTCACAATTTAATCTGCTTCAACCAAATTAAAGATTGGGCATGGGTATGACCGCCAAAAAAACAAGTTCCCTATGACTATATCAATTCCATAATAGAACTGTGGAATGGCCCAATGAAGGCAAAAATTCATGTAAAGACCACAAATCAGAGCATGCACCATATAATATAAATAGATAAACATCTGAAACTCAAACCACTGGAATAAAACAGGAGATCGTATTACCCTTTGCCAACTTGGAAACCCGAAATCAAAACATCAAATCACCAATCAAAGGCAAGTAAGAAAGTAGAATTTAAAAAATAAAAAAAAAAAAATGAAATATGAAATTGGAACAAATTATGATAGTATCAAATGCAAAAGACGATAGATAAACTGTAAGGAAAATGGGAAGATTACTGCCTTTGCTGCCATTAATGCCTGAGTTCCAAAACCTCCCTACTAATGCCCTACCCAAATCCAGGGACTAAACCAAAAAAAAATTATTAGGATCTACAGTTCAGATCAATCAATAAACTGAAAGCACAAAATAAGTGTGTTTTAAATTTGAAAGTTTATGTGATCATAAAATTCTGTAATAGAAAAAATCGAAAATGCTATAATATATTTCTCTAAGATGGAAGCTGATTAGAGGCATATTTTACACACATAGGTCATAATCTCCAAGCAATCTGATTTTAATTGTCACCTATGAGTAGCGCAACAGATGAATAAAGTGAAATCTCATTTGATACATATATATAAGTTTGAACAGTAAATCACTATGTTGATGGCTTCAAAGATTCTAGATTTGGATATACAGAAAAAGAAAAGATATGATTTCACCTATTATCTGGAAAAAAAAAAAGGGAAAGAGATAAAGTTACTAGGTATCATCCTCTTAGATTTATTGGACTCTGGGCAAACCATTCCTCACTTAGTCTCAAATGACAGGAGCAAAATCCTGGTACACCTTCAAAATTTCTCAATAAACAACCCATTGAATTAAAAATGGAGAAGGAAAACTGCATCAAAAGATGAAACGAATCTCACCACAACACACTACTCCAACCAATATACATGCCACAGTAGGGAGAAGGTAGCAAAAGTCAAGTACGAAAGTTACCTTCCCAAAAGACAAGCCTAAACATTCATGTGTATCTCATGCCATAGGTAATGAACAGAAACCTGTAGCCTCACTTATCTATCTCAATTACAATCATCAATTATGGAAGAAAAGTTGACATGAGCAGAACTAACAGTTCATCTAAATATAATGATCATATGGTCTGCATAACTCTAATGAATTGGATATGCAAATTCCCGTTCAGAGGTTAAAAAAAATGCAAACACCTATCTGTGCCAAATGTACATGAACATTTTTGACTGTCTTTTTCTATGATTAAGATTCTCCACCTACTTTTGCTTTATTTGTCTCTCTCCAGCAATCCAAAGAAATAATGTACAGCCAACCACCATAAGAAATGTTGATCAACTCTAGTACTAATCATAAAAGTATATCAATCATTCTAGCAAAGAAAACCAACTGCCTTGTTTTTAGCCAGTCTTTGTAGATCTAGAATAAAAAGATGTAAGAAAAAAATCAAAATACGTACAACAACTGCATGTGCTAGCAAAACCAAAAGCACAATAGGACACCCCCTGAAAGCAAATGTTACCTACTTTTGGCTCTCTGACAGCATGGCCCTAATTATCCCCACTTTCTTTTTCTCTCCACAATAATAGATCAAAACTACATTTTGATTCATTCCAAAAATCATTAAATCAAGAACCAGCAAAAAAAAAAAAAAATGGCTCAAGAAATCATCAACTAATGAGCTAGTTCCTCTTATTGCACCACCCCACTTGAAGATTTTCCCTTTCTTCACTATTTGTGCAATGTAAAGGTAGTTTCAAGGCAGATGAAAATTGATGTGTGTGTTTGTATATGTTTTCTTGAAACATTTTTTTTCAAATATTTTAAGCAGGAAAGGGGTGAAAAATAAGAAGCCGGAAGGAGGAATGAGGGAAATGAATTTAAGACTCCTAGTTATTGGGCTCTCAATCATCTCAATTAGACTAATGGTTCTCGGCAAAACTGATATGCATATGGTTGTCCTTAAAAGTTCAGATACTTCAATGCCAGTTAGAAGGACAAGAAAATGAGTCACAAGAAGGTTATCCACAATACTGCTAGCGTGGACAGCAAATATTTGATACCAAAGAAAGGAAAGCAAAATAATTTCAAGGGTACATCTGAGATGCACTGGATTTTCGATGTACAAGGATAAAAGTATCAAAGTGCAAACGGCAGTATGCACAAATTAACCAGCATAAGTTGAATGCTTTCCGCATACATCATTAAGAATCAGAGATGAATCTGTTTCCGGCACAATTTAGAGAAACATATTGCTTAAATAGGATAAATCCACTTCAGAGAACCACAAGGTTGCTGTAAACTTTAATTTTTTTGACCTTTTGTTTTCATGACAAAAGTAAGCTGATACCAAGATGAACTTCAAAGTCTCCAATTCAAGAAGTGGTTACTGCTGTTCCATCAATATTCATCTTAATCAAGCTTTCATAATAACAAACCAGTTCTATGTTAAGCTCCAACTTTCTTGTATACGGACTATTATGCGAGCTCCATCAATTCATGCAGCCTCATCTAACACATACTTCTATTCTGCAGACAGTAACTTGCTGACATGATGCAATGTCCCTCCCCTACACACCTCTACTCAAAGCCACAGATTGAAGCAAATATAAGGGAGGAAAGACACATACACGTATTGAAGCAAATGTTATCTTAGGACGGGTGCACAGGAACTTAAGATTTATTTTGCCCTTTTATTCCTCTCTTGCAGAGTCACATGACTGATATGTTAGACAAGGACTAGCCATAGGTGAAGAATGATAGACCTTTCAAATGCCAGGGTTGACTCAAGCTTTCAGAAAACTCAATCTGTCACAAAACGTCAAAGGGCACCTCTTCTATGATGACTAAACAATAAGGTTTAGGAGTAGCTGGACAAGAAAAACCTTTTCAGTACCATCCAGTTTAAATTTACATATTTAGCCTATCAATGCAGCAACCAGAGAAAGGAGAGGAAACAAGTCATTCACATCCAATATGCTGAAATGGCAACATCTTGTTGAAGGGCATATCCTGCACCAAAGTTTGAGAATATTCTCGGCAAAAGAATCCAAAGGCAGCAGGGACATCATAAAAAAAATCAACCTGACAAATAATTGAGGATAATAAGGCAGTAGTCAAATGAATGACATAATCATGAAATAATGCTGTCAAACGTTGAAACTGCAGATAACATTATATCTAATAATTCTGCCAAGTACAAATTGAAAAGCAATCTCTATGCAACTAGCTTCTAATGGAGTAAGACTGCCATGCAAAGTCCAAAACTTGTACAATCATGTCATAAACAACACCAAATGAACAATGTTTGTTGAAGAGCACAAAAGGAGAGTTCGTAAAGAAAGTTCAAACATAAAGGACCAACAAAATTCCTCATTGCCAAAACAATGATAGCAAGCTACTTTATTTGCATAGATTGCATCCTTTAATGAGTAAGCAGCACAGCAGAACATATTTGTGCACCCAACTTCAAATGCATTTAACATCGAGAAATTAAACCTTGATTCTGCCTTAATTACATCACCCATGGGAAAAGCTCAACGGCCACGATCATTGAAGCCATCTCAAGCAAATTCAATCACACATGTAGATGACTTTCTGGGGAAGATTGATATCCTCTTAAGCGGAACTTTTCCTTGATGTCATTCGGAGGTAGACCAGAATGTAGCTTTATTTTTTTGAGGGCTCTTCCATGATTCAGAAGATACCCTGTTGTTGAAAGCTCATCTTTGAGGCCAGTAAAATTCCGAATAAAAATTTCTCTGAGACTTGACAGCAACCAACTGGGAACTTGCTTAGGAACCCTCCAGCATCCACTATGTGTTTCTCAACATTCCTAAAGCTAATTACAACAAAAACAACTATTCAATACACTCCACTAAAAGTACAATCAAAGTCTTAACAGCATTACTCCTTTTACATTCTATGATTCTCTTTCACTCTCGACATAAGAGGGCCATAAGCTGACCTTAAAAAGTTTGAAAGAAATGTAAGTTAGTGGAGCTCTCAAGCAAATCTGGCAGAAATTTCCACCCACAGCATCCAACTTGTACCATCAATGAGGTTAATCTCTCAAACTTTGTTGACAAAGGGTAAGTCGCTCCGTTAAGAGACTACAGAAAAACCATTCAACTTGTCATGGATTTGAGCTCTGATATGCAACTAAGTACTAAAGCATACAAGACAATTGTTCAATTTCCTTACTTAAGTTCTTTGTGCACCATATGGTATTATAACTATTTATAGGCTCAATGAGAATTAGAACCAGTAGCTTCACCTTACTGGCGTCAAATGAAACTGTCAGAATCTTCACATGATGAAGTGCTTGAAGTAGTTTAACAGCTCAATTGCAGTAAGGGAGAGTGAAGAATAAAACAACATCAACATATGCTTCTACTAAGGAGGTAAGGCTTCCAACTATGAAGTCTGTAGTCACTAAATCTTCCAGATACAGGTACTCATGGGCAGGGGCATTTATCTCGAGCTTATAGTGGAAATCAGGATTTTATACACAATCCGCATGAAAACGTAGTTAAAGTCTTTCTAGAACAGGAGATGATATTGCAATAATAACCACATCAGGACAAACATCTCTTTTGATATGTAAGCATTTTAATACTGCACAGCCAGCTATAAGCTTCTGAACAGAATCATTGGATTCAAATTCAACGGTTCAGGGTAACAAGCCTAGGAAGACAGACGAAATTTGGAACTTTGATGACAATATGATTGGATAATTCAAGAAGTTCCAGTGTTTCCCAAGTATAGAGGCTCCTAGGCAATTTATACCATACATCAAGACAATAAAGAGAGACATCAAGCACTTGAACATTACAAGCAATTGCAGGGGTGACCCATCTATTCATGTTGAAGATATCACAGTCAAATTCCCACTTCAGACAGAACTTATGTAGTGATTGCACATCACTGAGAAGCAAAACCCTGTCAACAAACTTCACAACTTTCATCTTTTTAATGAAGCATTCACTATGGCTACAATACACATCGAAACCTTCAAAATGAGAACTAGGGACTTTCAGTCCACAGAAACTTCCATCATCCTGATAAAATGCTGGTTGCCACAACTTTTTTTCATGGAAGAAAAGACAGAATGGAACAGAGTATCGAGTTCAGCAAATTACTAATCCTATCATCTGAATTCATCAATTTACCAAAGGCTTTCTTATGCTTGTAGCTTGATCTTTTACCAGCAGATCGAGTTCAATATCCATTTGACCTAGTCATTCCACCTAAGTAAACACTTTTCTCCCTCTCAAAATCTAAACAATGTAACAGCAATAGAAAAATTTCCGTTATTGGAACTTGTATGCCAATATCCATAAGCAAGCTCTCTTGATAAATTCAAGGGAAAACATTGATATAAGAAACCCCAGAACAAAAGAAAAAGATTTTGCATGTCATTTTTTGAAACAGAAAACAATAACCCTGCATCATTTGAGGAATAGGCACAACTTCAATTAGTGGGCACGAGTTTATCACAATAATCAAGATAACCATTTGAGCCATCTAATCAAAGCTAACTGTTAAGGATATTAATTTCAGAAAAGCGTATCAAACAGATAAGGGCTTCCTTAGGTTAATGTTAAGGATATACATTACTACCGCAATTGAGTACTCTGCATAACAAATTCACTAAATAACATGCATGAAACAATAAAAAAAAAACATGTATGAAACAATTAAAAAAAAAACATGTATGAAACAATCACAAAGAGTCGTCGGATCACCTAGAAAACCCAGAAAAGAAACATTAAACAAAATTTACTAGAGAAGAAACGAGAAGAAACCATTAATTGGGGGAAGGACAAAGGAGAGAAATATCACCTAATCCATCTCGCAAATACCTTTCACCCATTATTGATGCGGAAGAATCCAAATAAGGAGAGCTCTCAATAAATGAAAACCCTAGGTCATAGATGTTCTTTGAAGTTGTAATGGTTAACTTTGAACTCTTTTTCCCAGAGGCAAATACACACACGCACATAATTAGATTAGAAACACCTAGAAAATCATCGTCAAATTAAGTCAGAGACTAATCTAAGGGGGACCCATAAATCAACACCATCCAATTAATTGGTGACAGGAGGTGCGATTAAGTTTGAACTCAACAAATTGGTGACAGGAGGTGCGATTAAGTTTGAACTCGAAATGAGGAATTCTGAGCTAGAGGAAGCATCTATCGACTCTAGTGAGGTAGCCTCCGCACCGGACAGATTTTAAAATGAAAACAAAAGAGAGGAAAAATCTAACAAATTTCATCGTGGGTGTAGAAATGGGGCGGGGGCAAAATATTTCTCCCGCCTTAAAACGGGGCGGGGGGAACATACACCCGTCCCGTCCCTCGTCCCGTCCCCGCATACAATAAAATATATGTATATATATACAATGCTAAATTTTCTAAAGTTGCATCTTTACTTATAAGTACAACACTAGTCAGTGTCAACTGCCGCCGCAACAACTGAAAAAATTTCTTGGATTATTATTGATTTGTTTCTAACGCCCCCCTCCCCAAAAACTAAGCTATCCAATTCCAACTTGTTTTGGTCCTAACCCTTTTTTATTTCGATCGGTTCCTTTTCTCCTCACTGAATATAACTTGACTTGTTATACTTTATTTCCATCTTGACAGTTTTTTAATCTTATTTAACATTGTTTACAATTGTATTATTGTAAATAAATATTTATGATAAATTGAATTCTTCCTTCACGGGGGACCGCGGGAGAAACGGGGCGGGAGCGAGGCGGGGGGAGTTATTTGACAACGGGGCGGGGGGTGAGGGAAGGATCCACCGCCCCATTGCCATCCCTAGTTGTATATGAAAAACTCATAGCTTAAAAAAAAAAACCTACGCTTGGATTTCGCTGTATTTGAAAAGAGAAAAATGCAATTTTGGTATCCAAACTTTGACAGAAAAGCAATTTTAGTCCACAAACTTTGGGTTAAAACAAATCTACAACTTTTGAGCACATTTAGTACCCTTGATGATTTTTTTCCAAATTGATATAGGAAAGAGTCATGTGATAGCCACATGTCCGGCCACTTTTGTATAAAAAAAAAAATCCAAAAAATGTCAAAGGTTATTCTGATACTAAATACTAAGTTTGAGAACTAATAATTTAATACAAAAAAAAAAACTTAAGGACTAAATAACTTCACATGAGTCATTTAAAAATAAAAGAACAAGAAAACGATTCTTTGAAAATTGCTAGAATCTACCAAGTTCTCTCAAATTTTTGGAGCCCAACTTGAATTTTGGGTTAATTACATTTACCTCCCCTGAGGTTTGACCATATTACCAATCAATCCCTGTAATTTGTTCAAATAACGGTCTCACTCTTTGAATGATCAAACATTTAACAAAAACCCCCTTAATGCAGAAAATGCCCTCATTGAGACCATGTTGCATTAAAAAAAGAACGTAATTTTATTTTATTAACCTTGAAGCAATCCAAAAAAATAGAAAAAAGTTTTTGTTTATTATTTTATAAAAACCATATCTTTGCTTCCATAAATAGTTTTGAATCAATAATTATTTTAAATCTTAAAAATGAATATTAAAAATTAGAAAAATTGAAAGAAAAATAAAAAAAGAAGAAATTATTTTAATTCCAGAAGTATGGTTCAAATTCGAACTACAAATTCCTTGAACCACAAATTCGAACCATACTTGAGGATTTAAAATAATTGCTTCTTTTTTATTTTTCTTTCAATTTATCTAATTTATAATATTCATTTTTAAGATTTAAAATAATTATTGATTCAAAACTATTTATAGAAGCAAAGATATAGTTTTTATAAAATAATAAGCAAAAACTTTTTTCTATTTTTTTGGATTGCTTCAAGGTTAATAAAATAAAAATATGTTCTTTTTTTAATGCAACATGGCCTCAATAAGGGCATTTTCGGCATTAAGGGGGTTTTTGTTAAATGTTTGATCATTCAAAGGGTGAGATCGTTATTTGGACAAATTATAGGGATTGATTGGTAATATGGTCACACCTCAGGGGAGGTAAATGTAATTAACCCTTGAATTTTTGTTGAAGTTCGATTCTTAAGTTTTCTTTTGGGGAGAGAGAGAGAGAGAGAGAGACGGAACACAGATATTATTTTCTTGTTCTTTTATTTTTTTTTTAAATGACTCATGTGATGTTATTTAGTCCTTAGGTTTTTTTATTACATTATTAGTTCTTAAACTTAATACTTAGTATTATAATGGCATTTGATATTTTTTTGGTATTTTTTTTATACAATAGTGGCAGGACATATGACTATCACGTGACTTTTTCTAATAGCAATTTGGGAAAAAACCATCAAGGGTACTAAATGTGCTCAAAAGTTGAAGGTTCAGGTACCAAATTTGTTTTGTCCAAAGTTTGGGGACTAAAACCGCTCATGTGTCAAAATTTGGGTACCAAAACTACATTTTTCTCTATTTGAAAAACAGGTGCTACGACAAAATATGGGTCAGTGAATTTTAAGGACAAATTATGGCTCAAATATATTTTCATTTGGCCTACACCGCAAACTTAGGGCATTTTATGGCTAATCATTGGAATAACGGTGCTAAAGATGAGAAAATTGGGTATTATACCACTTTTGACAGCAACTTGTCAAAACACGTATACTAATGCCACTCCCATTAACATTTCCAATTTGAAGTGCAGGAGCTATCAATATGTGCTGAAACCAATTCTAATAGTTTAACACAATCCACCTTACCATTAAGTTCGAACCAAAGTACATTACCACAAACTTAAGTATTGTTAAATGTGAACTTGTTAGCTACACTAGGAGAATTCTAAACCATGATGTCCGTCTTCCCATGTCAGATGAAGATTGGTCGTGGAAAAAACAACGTTACCTGGTCCATGGATGAGTCTTCCCATGTCAGATGAAGATTGGTCATGAAAAAAACAGCGTTGCTTGGTCCATGGATGAATCCCCTGTCCACCTCCTATCGATATAGATACACATGATTGGCAATTGTCTGCTGATTTTAATTCCAATCAATAATTCCCTGTTGTGACATATCAATTGGATGAGGCGCATAGACTAGGTTCCCCTCCTCGAAACCATCTTCATATGCTCCGACTGCATATCCTTCCTCAAAATATTGGTTGTTTGGTACCTGATCCCACATGAAATTATGCAATGCACAACAGGCAAGAACAATATTATTCTGTGCGGCTATCATGTAGTTCTGCAATTGCCGCTTAAGAATTGGGAAGTGCTTCTTCAGAACTTCGAACGCCCATTCTATAATGCTTCTAACTGTTGCATGGCATTGGTCGAACAGGACTTTTGTTGCATGCTCCTGTGCCGATCCCTGAGCACCTCGAAATGGAGCCATGAATCCGAGTAGATTTGTATATGCAGCATCCACTATATAATACTTACCTGCACATTACCAATTCATTTCAAGCCCATCAATGTTCAAATAGAAAAAAAATATGATTTACTTTCCTAACTCTAATACTAAAGTAGACAATTGGGAATTGTATTGGAACTTGTTTAATTGAAATTCGTGTCTCCTTTTGCCATTGATCACCTAACCTCGTTCATGGTTAGACATTTTTTGGATCACACTAGCCAGTAGCATAGGAAATGCTACATTTGGGTCAAGCAAGGTATCTTGTAGTAACTGTGAATAATGTGCACTGTCTTCCTAGCCTACTCAGACATATACAAATCTCATGTTATGGTTGCAAGCCGCTAAAACATTTTGAGATAATCCACCATGTCTATTTCGAAATCACTCTCTATCCCGAGCATTGCACCAAACTGAGACAAGAGTGCCATTTAATGCCGCAACACAATCTTGTTGAGAGTAATAATAAATTACAAATGGTATATGTGCAAACCTATATTATTCATAACCTAAAACAAGGTTATCTTAAACCACATCCAATACTTCCCACTATTCACAATCCGTGGATGAATCGCATAAAAATTGGTTGGCCTAAGTATATCCCAACTCAATCTCAGTATATCCCAACCCAATCTCACTAAGGCCCTTAGGCAGCGATGTATATGCCGATCCACCGTTTCTAGGGGATGTTGAAGCGTTCGGACAAAACCTGATGCCGTTCATCATGACTTAGGCACACAATGGCAATGGCAACCGACTCATGAATGTCAATCCTCTATGTAGCGTGTGATTGCTAATAACCCCGCTGTAGCAATAAATCACATAACACCAAGAACTGTGTAACCTCCATGGGTATGTTCTCGAATATCCTGTTGCTATGGCCATTTATGAGCTCGATCACCCATTGCTCGTTGCTTAGAGCACTGTCTCGAATCCTGTGTCTTCGTAGATGATTGGAATTGGTGTCTAACAAAACCAACAGAAGCATTGCAAATAGAGCATATGCTACCTCGTCGTCGTCATCGTAATCGTCGTTACCACCCTGTCCATGAAAACCCTACATGTTGATGAAATTATCCATGTAGTGTCTGCAAGATCCCACATAGATGCCAAGATGTTGCCTGAAAGAAAAGCAATAAAGGAAACGTGTCAATCATATGCCATATGTCTAATATCGGGCTCGAATAAAAATGGATTGTATCGATATTCAGCTGCATTTGCATCTAAACATATTCTCAATAACAATTCTAAACCAAATGCCACTAGAAAATTGGTTAAAAAAATTGAAGTAGAATCGACCGGGATAACAAATGGCCAATCCAACTAAGCGAAAATAGTCCAAACCAGAAAACATTCTCCAAATACAAATAGCCAACACCTACAACTCTAAAATCAACAGATCAGAACAAATGTATGTTGCTCAATCTAAATTTACAATCATTCTAATAACTTTAAAAAGCAATAGGTTACATAGGAGCTATGAACCCTTCAAGATAGCAATACAATCCTACTAATCTTTATTTGGTTGGAGAGGTAGATAGCCCCGAAGTTGAGCAAACTCAAGTCGGTCATCATCGGATCTGGCAGTGAACGAAATGGTACGATCCTATACATCTTGTAAGATATTGGTGACCTTGACATGAATTTTTCATGAAAAGTTCAGAGAAGACAGTTGTCAGAGAACAACTTCATAGGCGGACAGTGCTGGCACAAAGGGAGGAGCATTTTTGAAAGGGGAGCTCACTGACATCGTACTAGAGCTCTTTTTCCAGCTTACAAAGCTCTGCAGTCCATCCGAGATGCGATCAACTCTATCCTATGAATGCTTGGATATGCCAAGGATACGGAAGGAGTTTTGATGTGTCCCCGAATTTGCACTTACCCTTTCCCTTTCTGGATTTCACTTTCTTCGGGGAAATTACTTAC